GGGGTGAGGCGCTGGAGTGTGGTCGGGTGAGGGAGAAGAAGCTGGTGAGGAGGGATTGGAGGAATCTAACTGTTCAGTTTCCCCAGGAGGAGACCAAGTCTTGAGCACTTCCTCGGCAGTAGGTTCTGTGCTGGGTGCCGCCACTGGGACAGGGGAAACCAAATTTGTCCCATTGGCATTGGTTCTCTGTGCCCTGCTAATTTGTCTTTCTAAAGCCAAATGTCTCCTCAAAGCCTCTTGCTCAGCCGTTTTAGACTGTCCCTTCTGAGTAAGGTGCTTTGTTTTAGCTTTCTTCTTCCCCCCCACCTCTGATTCAGAGGATCTGCGTTTTCGCTGCTGCTGTGGGGGGGACAATTGAGGGACCTGTGTGACTGAATACGAGACATTGTCTGCCATTGTGCCAGACACCCCGAGTAGGAAATGCCTGGGATGGGGGAATGAGGTACGCAGATCAGAGGCAGATGCTTGGGACTGTGCCCTCCTCTGCCTATACAAACAATGGCCGGACAGACAGGATTCTTTGGACAGAAGATCCTGCCAGGCAGTGACTAAAGGCCACTATAGGAACAGTTAGGGAAGAATATTCCTCCTCACCTCCTCACCTAGTCCAGACAAGGTGCAGTTTATATCTCTCTCTCTCTCCCCCAGTCTGTGGCTGTGGCAACAGACCACGATAGGAAACGGTTCTTTTTGCTTTCCCTCTTCCTTCCTCTGTCTCAATTTCCTTGGGTAACCTCAGATCCTTGCAAGGGAAAAAACCCTTTGTTTGCCGGAAAATGGAGTCCGGGTGATGGCCCCGCCCCCAAGGGGAAACGGCGGGAAGATCAATTTCCAAAATGGCGAATGGGGAAGAAGCCACGCCTCCCAATGGAAGCCCGGGAATCCACGAGGTTCAAAAACAATGGCGGATCCTGATTTTTGCAATCAGGAAGACTCCTCTAGTCATGAGGGGGCTGCGCCTTTCCTCTGGATAGAAGGAAATTCAGCGCCGGCTTTGCTCTTGCCGCGTTGTCTATCGCGCCGCTCAGCTGATCGCAGCCGAGCGGCGACCTGGTTTGCCGCTTCCCGCGCGGCTCAGCTGTTTCGCGCCGAGCGGCGCTCAGCTCCCTCGGCCAGGCTGCTCAGCTGTTGGGAGGGCCCGGAGGGCTACGCGCAACCCGGTGAGATCCCCCGCGCCAAACAGCTGCTCGGCGGGCCGGAAGAAAAGGGCGAGCGATCCGGCCCGTTCCGAGCCTCCCCAGCTAGCCCCACTCACGAGTCCGCCGATCCTGGCTGCCTCTCTCAGTTCTAATCGTTGCCAGGAAGTTTCTCTTGCAAAGGGAAGAAGAGGGGATTCCTTTTTTTTTTGTTTTCTTTGAGTTTAAATTCGTTTGGTTCTGAGAGCTGCCTCTCGCACTTGTACCAGGCTTCGAGACTGAGTCAAAACTGGGGTCACGCCCAAAGGAAGGGGTGTGGCCGAAGTTTTTACCCAGTCTGCCAGGCAGGAAGGCCGTCATAGAACCCATCCATTTGGACTCTACAGTCATCCTGCTGGAGAATGAGCAATGCTAGAACAGGTAGGAATTTATAAATGTATTAAATACTGAGGCTAGAATTAAAAAATTTTACCAGAGAGAGAAGATAGCTAAATATTTTTTTAGACTTCTTAAGAAGCTTGCCTAGATCAATGATGGCGAACCTATGGCATGTGTGCCAGACGTGGAACTCAGAGCCCTCTCTGTTGGCACGCGCACCAGGGCCACCAGCAGCAGGTCCAACAGGCCGCCACCGCCACCCGGAGCAGGAGCCCCGCCCAGCACAAAGGAGGCGAAGTGGCTAACTAGCAAGCTCGAGTAGAGGTGGTAGAGCAGAGGGCACCAACTATTGTCAATTGAAAGAAAAGGGAGGGGGAAGCATTTTACATGCATGCATGCGCACATGGGCCACGAGCATGCACGCACTGCAAATGGGATGGGGCTAGTGCCTGCATGATACTCACTAGCCCTGCCCTGTTCTTGTGTGGTGCAGCACATTGTATCTGCACCCTGTGGTGCGGCAGCGGCCGTTTTTGCGCCTTGCAGCACGGTGGTCCATTTTTGCGCCCCCAGTTTTTGTATGCCAGAGGCGGCACTCAAAGGCACCTCCCCGCCTCCTCCTGAGGGCACCACAATGCTGATGCAGCCCTGGCACTTTGCAATAAATAAGTGGGTTTCGGGTTGCGGTTTGGGCACTCAGTCTCTAAAGGGTTCGCCATCACTGGCCTAGATCATTCAAAGACGGATAATTATAGTGACCTGTCAACTGCAGACAGTCTGGTGAAAGCAAATCATTCTGACCCATTTCAAAGTAGGATACACGGTTGAAAGTCCTTTGTCAGTCTGATAGATCATTGTCTGGAAAATCAATAGAGAGAACATGGTTCTACCAACAACTCTAGTATCCTTCAAACTTGCTGTGAGATTTGGGAATAAGAGGTACAGTGGTTCCTTTCCCATCTCTTAAGTAGATTTCTGGTGCCTTTACTTGAAGACAGTTGCTCCTCAAAATGAAAGCTAGTATTTCTTAATTTCACAGCATATGGACAGACTTAACCATTGTTTCAACTGGGAAATTGTGAGGATCCTAGACCAAGCCAAGTCCAAAAATACTAGACAATTCCTGGAAATCTGGCACTCAGATAAATTGACCATTGACAGGCACATAGAGATAAACAACATCTACATGACATTCAAAAAGCCAAAAAGGAAACAAAACGAATGTAGTAGAATTACATTCTGCCAAGAGGAATAGATATGCAGAGAGAGTATTTTTTGATCCAAATCTCTTTCTGATTTCTCAGCAATGTGTTTTATCTTCTTTGGTTCATATGCCAGCTACATCCCTATCTAGAAGATAATTATCTCTAAACTATGGTACACAAGTTGGTAAAGTACAGGCTTGACTACAGTAATATCCTCTACATGTAGATGCCTGGGGCTAGTCAGGAAACCTAGTTGTTATAAAACTCAGAAAGAGTTTTGTCTAGAGAAAGATGTGAACATTTGTGCTTAAAGCACCATACTAGGCACCAACTTCTTTTAAACAAAATGCAAAGCTCTCACTATTACCTTACAAGCCCTACATCAACTTTTTTAATGCCGCGACCCCCAACCGGTTGTAAGTCGCGGACTACTCAACCGGTTGTAAGTCGCGGACTACTCAACCGGTCGTAAGTCGAGGACTACTCAACTGGTGCAGCACCGTTTGCAGAATGGGACTTTTGGCGGGCTCAGCAGGGCAGAGACAGCCTGGATAATTCCTATTGGCTTTTGAAAGCCAATAGAATTAGACTCTATTCAAGAGGGAATAATCAAAAGGGAGTAGCACAGCTAAGGAAAAGGGGGAAAAAATGGCGGACTGCGTTGTTTGGCGACCCCCGTGAAATGGTCGTTCGACCCCAAATGGGGTCCCGACCCACAGGTTGAGAACCACTACCCTACATAGTATAGAATAGATGATGAAGTAATGAAATAGTGAATGAATAAGGTTGGTACCAAAGTTTGGGGATGCCTAAAACTTTTGCATATTTCCTATTAGATGGTTTTTCACTGTTTCACATAGATTAAAAAAAAATTAGCTGCTTTTCTATTAAAATAGCCCCTATTCCTCCTAAATATTGTATTTTCAAGAAGTCTACTCATTAACTCTTATCCCAGTGCAACATATTATGGCTGTAAATATTTTTAACAAAATTTTAAAAAATATAAAACTGGTTTTGGAATTATGTATTAAGGTGGCCCATTTACATTATGCTATTTAGCATAAATTTAAAAATACAAAACATATCCTAATTTTGGAGTTAAGGTAATATATACATCTAGTGATCAAATAAAACAAACTTCAGTGATTTCAGTAAAATCAATACTAATAGTCCTTGAGATATTATTGAAATATGTCATAGCGATCTTAATCAATGGAAAGGAATACTAGGAATTGTAGTTCAGCAACATCAAAAATAAGAAGACAATGCAGGTTCAAACCTGTCTTCTTGGGGAAAAATGCCTTTTTGTAAAAGTTATTAAATGTGCTAAATATCTCCCGTATTCAGGATCAATTATTCAGAAGCGATGAATTTAAAATACATAAAAATATATACAACAGAATAATAGCATGTATCAAACTCTAACCAATTCCTACACTTAAAATCAGTTTTACTGACATTTCTTGAATCATTTCCAATGAAATTCTTGTTGATCTTTATAGATCTATTTTCTTCTCCCTACTGAAAATTATGATAAAAAACCAGTAGAGGCATTTACACTGTATGAATGAAATACACCAGAAATGTAACAATCACTCCAATGAATGTAGTATCTCCTAGCTTACTTATAAAAGTATAGTATGTAAAGACAATAAGAATGAAATGAAAACATAGTACACCAGTCAATACATCAAGAAAACAAAGAGCAGAATTATAATTGTATACGTATTAGACTTTAAGTAGCTAGAGCTACTATTTTCTTAACTAAGGAAATACTAGAAGAGAGAATTTTAATATTGCAGGACAGAAAAAAATGAGGGAGACCAACAGATGCAGCCTTCTCTTTAAGCCATGAAAAAACTATATGGCATATATAGTTAAAAGATACCACCATGGAAAAAGAATCTCCAGAGTGCAAGCACAGAAAAACTCTTTGTATAACAATTGCAGTGAGAGCTATACGCTTCATTTATAGTTTACATATTGTACCTCACAGCTAGTAGCCACAAAACATTTAGTGTCATCTGCGTTCTCAGGCACAATAAAAATACAATTGCCTTGTATCACTATAGATAATTTTAAAAATAAAAGCAAATGGGAAAAAAAATCCACTTCAAGAAAACACTTTACCTAGTCAATATTGCTTACTTTGTTCAATGTTCTCCTGCTTTGAAGAGGTGACTAAGGAGCAGCAGAACTACCTTCTGATTATGTTTTGCCAAAAACAAAGCTAAATAAAATCCCAAATCATTGCTGAAATTTATCTTTCTTGCATTGTTACCTTCACTTTTTCTCTTCTCAAACAGCAGAAAAGACAATTTTCATCAAAAGACCAATCAGAGACACCTTCAGGTTCAAAGTCTGTGAATAAGAAGAAAAAGTTATTTCACATCTGTAAAGATGCAACTTTTAAATGGTTAAAATTCATTTCTAATTCCCTACCTGTTTTATAAGACGCTTGATGCTATATGAGCAATGCTAGTTTGAATGCTACCATGCTTTTAATTTCCACAGTGTTACAAAAGTATAATTTTCGCCTACACACAAAGCTAATTTTCCTAAGCAACACCAAAACCACTGCCAGTTATGCTCATTAGTAATTTTAGCCAATATGAAACTAACTGTGAGCACTGCCTGGGGGAGGGAAAAAAAGCACAAATCACCAAGGTAACATACATTTTCTAGAGATAGAGCAGAGGTTGAGTTTGTCATTAAAGATGCAGATCAAGGCAAATATATATATAAGTATACTGTATATATAATACCTTTAAACAAATTCCAGATCTTTTAATAATTCAGGTCCAAACAGCCCTTCTAGAATACTTTCAAATCCTAAAATTAAAGAAAGAATGTTTAATTTCTTCAAATTACATATATAAATGCCAGAATATTGACAATTCTACATTTATCTGTTCTTAGAATAAATCTGAATGTCCTTTTATTATGTACTCTATATTTCTTGATCAATCCTATTCAAGTCAGTTAAAATATGCACAGACAAAATTATATCAATGCAGCATAGTGAAAATGAAGCAAAACAATTTAAAAATGGAAAACGTTGTTTAAATAATTCAATTAAGTGATACCAACATTAAAAAAAATTACTCACTTCAGATTATGAATTCAAAAATGTATTTATTTCCCAGAGTCTACTTTTAAGCTTTATAAATGATTTGAAAAGGAAAGCCACTAATGATTAATCTGAAGCCAAATATGGAATGTGTTCATTCTATAGATGCTTAATTATTACTGAGGTATTTACATTTTTTTTTACAATATTGAGATTTCCTATTTCAAATATAACACCTTCCCCTCCCCCAAAATTAATGCCATATTTGTGAATATAATTACAGTGTACTTTTGGCTTACAGCTAAAGAAACAGCACACCTATTTATCAGTTTTTCAGAATATGAGGGATATAGGAAATATACTGCATTGTAACAAGTACAAATTCTACTGAGATAATCTATTTACCATTTATACGTAAAGATATTTCACATAAATACTTTTACTGTACAATATCTGAGCTGAACAGTAGAGATTTCACAACATTTTCAATGTAAAATAATTCAAGGAATAAATTATTTCTTTACTCATATTACATAGTGAGTGATGGATTATTTAACTTTGGAAGAGAAAATTTAGTAAGAGTGATATCCTTCTGGTATGCAGAAAAAGTCCAATGCTCATGTAATAAAATATTATTAATGCAAATTTTGAGATGTAATAATTAAGTAGATTCCGAAAGTAGAAGAGTGCATAAAACAATGTATATAACTGGAAGGCAAAACCACAAAACTCCATCTTATTTCAGCTATATCAAGCAATCAAACTCATTGGAAAAGACAATTTTGCTTGGAATTGTCAGCAGTAAAAGGAGGCCATCCAAAATGGTGCCTAGATACCATCAAAGCTAATACCAGCCAGAGCATAAAATATAAATCATAAAACAACTGAAAGGTTGGAGACAGCTAGTCCATAAAACCTTCAAGAATAAAATATGATTGAATGGATATCATCATCATCATCATATCTTAAAGTATTTACTAAGATTCAAAGAACTGTGATGGAATAAACTTGACAACTTAATCACATTTTAATCTGTAGTGTAATGACAAAACTACAAAGAAATAACAGAAGCATAGGGAGACAAAACCCAAATTAAATAATAGAAAAATAAAGAACTGAAAAGAACAGTTACACATATACAGATGATAAACCCAAATTGGGTTTATCAGATGTCATAGCCTTGCTTTAGTTAATTTTAAAAGAGCACTGTCTCGTCTTTTAAGTTAAACTGACACATCTCTAATTCAGAAATAGTCCAGAAACATGGATGCTTTGTATATTACATATTAGTTTAAATAAGTACATTTTAAAAATATTTTAGAAAACTAAAAGCTGACAGAATTTGAAGTACTGAAAAAGAAATAAAATGTTAGAAACCCTACGACACTTTAAAATTTTCCTATTAAAATATGCAGGTAAATGCAGGTAAAATCTGAAATGTTAAAAACTTGCACATTTTAACTTATAAAGAATGGTCTCTAAAAAAGAAATATTTTAATTAATTGTCATTAATTCCTATTAATCAGAATTTTTTATGCAACTAAATAAGCATTCAGTGTCTATGAAATGGATTATATAAAGTATACAATCTGGCTTGCTTTGTTCACTGTTCTACCAATGGTAATGACGCTTGGTGTATATTAATATTAAATATTAGATTTAACAGTTGCATAGCAACAGCAGAAAAGCTTATATGCAATACTTGTCATAGAAAATGCCAAACAAGTAAGGACGAACATATTCAAAAATTATTTTAAAGACCTAGCACTTATAATTTATTAGATTTAGTTGCATAGCCCAACCCAATACATCAAAAATAGCAACAAATTAATCAAATAATGTGATCTGCTATGTTAAGTTTAATACAAAAAGAGTCAAAATAAACAACAAGGGAGCATGGAATAATTAAACTGGAAAGATTTTGAGATTATGAGAAATTGCTAATGTTTACTAAGATTTTTCTATCACCCTTTTAGGAATTAAAAGAAATATGATTTTATCCACTGATAACATTTTACTTGTTTGCCTTAAGATGTAATATATTCCTATTGATTTTAAGAGGAAACAATATGGCTGTCTTTGTTTGACTCTTTTATTCATTCCCATGTATGTTTGATCATTTCCAGTGCTGAATAGAACAGCATTAAAAGTCTCAGGAAATTTTCATTTTGTTATTTCCATTTCACAATGAATTTAGATTTTCTGTACTTAGTGGTGGTGTTTTCAAGGAAATACAGTTATATAATCCTTCTATTAAAAAACTGTCACGAATAACAATACTTGACTTTTTTAGTAAAAAAGTTCCACTGCAAGGGATAGATAATTCATCGCAGAAGACATTAAAAAAATTTCAAGGATTAATGCCAATCAAATAAAATCAAATCTTTATTACAATCATAAACCAGCATAAGGGATCAATGCAAAACAAAATTGTATTCTTAGACACTCATGTATTTAGATTCATACTTTAAAAAGCTAGCTTGTATTATTTTATTATTTCTGAGACTACTTCCAGTAAATGGTTTTCTAATTGGGGTATCTTAAATTAAATGTGAAAATCTTATTGTAATATATATATATATATATATATATATATATATATATATATCTATATATATAATATATATTTATATCATATATGTTTTCCTGAGGGTTTCGCGGGTGTTTGTATGTAGGTCTTTGGTTGTTCGGGTTTCTCCCGCGTAAAATTGGAAGTGTCTTGGCGACGTTTCGACGAAGTCCCATTCGTCATCTTCAGGCTGGTGTTTTCAGCTTCATGCTGCTCGAAGCACGAAGCTTCGCGGGAAAAAACCCGAACAACCAAAGACCTACATATACTATATATATATATATATATATATATATATATATATATATATATATATATATATATATATATGACGATTAAAAAGGTTAAAAATGTGAACCCTAGGGATATTCATAATAAAATATAAAAATGAACACTAGGGTAATAAAAACTAAAGAAGTTTTTAATGGGTTAAAACTATAAAAGTTTTAAAAAGCGCCAAGCTTTCGCCGTCACCTGCCGGCATCCTCAGGGCTGGCGTGCCAGAGAATGAGAAGGTCTTTTTATAGGCGTGCCGAGGTTTGCACTCGGCTCCTTGATCTTGTTATGGGGCCTGATTGGTTCAGCCGTGTGTAGTTGGCCTGCGCTTTTTTTCTCTTCTTAGTTGTATTTTTATCCTCGTCCGTCTCCAGTTCTCCCAACCTCAGATTAGCTGAATGGCAATTCCAGTTATTTCGGTTGCTTTCATGTTCCGATCTCCCCTCAGGCTTGGGTGGTGGTGGACGTTCCAAGTTCCTTTCTCCGCCCCGTTCTGTCCGGTTGCTACTTTTAGAGTCCCATATATTTCCGGTCTCAATGCTTTCGGTTTTAATATGTTTATCATCCTGGTAATCCCGTAAATTGTTACGAGTCTGGTATAGCGTGGGGGGGTATTCCGCATGGTGGAGGGGTCGTCTCTTGTTCGTTGTCATGCCCAGCTGTCTCGCACGTGTCTTACTCCGAGTGCTCAATCCTGGGGGTGTGTGCACAGTCATCGGGGCGCGTCCCTCCTGGTTACCGTGTTCTTCCTTAGTTCTCCCCTTTTTTACCTTGTTGGAAGCGCTCGCGTATGTTCTATGGGAGTCCTCAGGATCGTCAGGTAGGGGGTATGACAGCTCGATCTCTCGCCCCCTGCCGCTCTCCGACTTTCCTTCCTCCTCTCCAACGGTATGCAGGGGTTCATCATCAACCACCTCCCGTGGTTTGTCCTCATAGGAGCTGATCGTTCCAGCTACATGGGGAGGTTTTCTCCTCCTTTCCCGACCAGCTGCGATGTTTCTTTTGGTGTGTGGGCAGGCCATTGCGTTTGGTGATTCCTCCGCATTTCCACCTGCCGTATCTTCCCTCATCTCCTCTTTGTAGCCGGGGGTCCGGACCTTGGTTCTGTCCCTCCCCTGATCTTCTGGGATTGCGGCAGTCCCGCGGGGATGGTCAAGGTGCCTCGCGTTTGCTTCCTTTCTTTCGAATTGCACCTGGTTCGTTGGGCGGTGCGGGTGCTATCCAGATTGTTATCAAGCCGTCGGGGGTGTTGCCGCCGATTATTGGCACTCCATGATCTTAAGGCTAAATAGGATGGGCATAGGTCAATGTGCCTATTAATAGACTTACTGTCTGAGAGCCATGCCTCTCTAAGAAGGCGGCCCCCTTTGGTGTTATCATTTGCCAATTCACTGACGTCACTAAAGTTAAACTTATGGCCTAGATCCACCATATGGGCCCATATTTGGGAGTGACAGTCTCTCCT